GTTAAGGAAGGCAGCAAAACAGCTTTATTCTCAATTATGTCTACTTTTAATCACATTAGATTATCGCCACCTAACTTCTGGAAGAAATCAAGAAAACATTTCAGTGCTTGCCTAGATCTGAACTAAAGTTTGACCCAGAGATTTAGCCATGGAACAGAAATTCTAAATGTCCTTGAGGTTGCCATCCCTCAGCAGTCAACTTTTTGCAGCACTGTTGCTTTTTCTCGTAGGCAAGGTAAGAATCTGCCCACTTACTCTAACTTACCTTGGTCACCGGTGCTGGTTCAGTATGTTGTCTGTGTTCTGAACATGTAGTCAGAAATTGACAGCTAACCAACTAAGTATACGGAAGAATGAACTCCACTGTGTTACCACCTCTGCTATCGAATTTATGTATTCCACACTTGGAAGCTATATATTGGAGGACCTTGGCCGCAAGCTCTAAATCTAGGTGTAAAGATGTGGTCTTGTGACATTAGGAAGGTAATTCAGACATGAGAAGTCAGTTCTAATCATTTGTCAGTTTGTACCAACCAACTAGGAAACTCACAGGGTAATGAAGTTTTAACTTTTTAACCATGATAAATTTGACTGCTATTGTGAAAAATCCTGAACATGAATAACTGACTACCAATTGACTAACTGGCATACACAGATTCAGAAAAAAATATCTCATAATCCTACTACCAACTTTTTTCAAAATGAGTATGATTTGGGATAGTTATTTGCTTTCTCCATTAATTTAGGGGAATGTTTGCCCATCCCAACTCCTTTATTCTTTACACAGCTCTAGGAGAATGGTGAAATAATAAAAATGTTTATCAAAAGCAAATCAGTTTTATTCTACTTCAATATCTGTAAATGCACTATGCAGTATTTTAAAAATTATAATTCTGATTTGTCATGCCAAATTTGTACCAAGCTCTTATTTTGACTGGATAGTTTGGGTAAGTCAGAGGTCAAATTTCATAAAAGGGCTGGGGACTGTCATTTTAGTTTACATAATTTGCTCAAAAACACCTTCCCCAATCTGAAATACACTTTACCGTTAAAATTGATTTGGGTACAATTGTGTAACTCCTGGATTTTTAGCTTTAATGTGTCTCCTCACACTGGTCTAACCCTGACCATAGAAAATATTACACAATAAAGGGAACTGAGTTCCTTCTCTGTTCATTCAGCAAACATTTCTCGAGAGCCTACAACTGACAGATACTTTGTTAGGTGCTAGGCATATAGGGTGACCATCCAGGCGATGTTGTGAAGAACAGATAGCTAGCTACTAGGTTGGGAGAGGAAAGAGAGTGAACAGATGTGAGAATCCTTCCTTTCGCCTTCAGTGAGCTACAGATAAGATACTGAAACACGCTTAGAGAAGTGCTGAGTCATATAAAGATGACTAGGGTAAGTACTGCGGTATTATCTTTATTACAGATGTAGATGATTTTCAAAGAAGTATGGCAGCTTAAGTTTTTCCAGGAATTCTAATCTGATCTAGAAATATTCTGGAACATCCAAATTTTGAGGTTCTCTTTCCAAGAGATAAAATAAAATCTTTTTTTAAAAAAACAGACTACTGGGCCTGTAAAGTGCTTCTCACCCTGGCCAATGTTCACCTGTCTTTCCCAGTCGCAATGTTTAGAAATACTTTATTTGCTTTCCATTAAAGTTTACTTCACATTTTTTTAATATAGGACAAACAATGATTACTGAGAATTATAAACAGACATAAATAATAATAGGATTTTGAAAGTCATTTTTCTTCCATTTCTATGTTTTGAAATATTTCCTATGTTTTCAGATATTTCCTCAAAGAAGAAACTGAGGCTCATAGAAGTTGAGAGATTTTTCCAAGTAGTTTTCTATACCTGATTCCTCCTTCTGAAACACCTGTGGCAGGAAAAGCACCTACCTGGGCAGGTCTGAACAGACCCGTGCAGTAAGCAAAAATAGAAAGGGCCCATTCTTTAAAATTATGACCCATATTTCTAACTGGAGTTCTACTTCAGTGGGAAAACTAGTATCACACTCTTTCAAATGGTTCTTTATTTTGCATTAAAAAAAAATAGATTGTTTCTGACAGGTAAAGGTGATCCAGAACACGTTTATCAATAAATTAACCATCACTTTTCCTTTTTTTTCTAAATTGACTTCTGACACTAAGCTTCTTGACAAAGATTTTTCACAACAACTTTAAGGTAAAACCTATCTCCAGCCTCTCCACATCCTTCCCCCTGCATAGAAACATTTCTGTTTAGGAAACGGGGAATAATTTAGCTTTCAGAACATGTTTCTTTCTGGCTGACTGAAGATACATGAATTTATGCTTGAATAACAGCCTGGATATAAAAATATCTAACGGTAAACATGGTACTTATAGAAATATATAAAGAGGACTGAAAAGAGGCATATGTTACACATTAGCAAACATTAAATTAAGAGAGGTTAAATATGGAATATCTAATACCACATGCAAAAAGAGAAATAAATGAAATCGCTGTAGGGCAGTGTGAAAAAAAGTTTATAGCAACCACACGTCTCTGAGTTTTCAAGATGGTCCTAATTTCAAATATTTGTTCCTGTTGTTAAATCACGTGTCTTGACTTTTCTTTACAGAATTGTGTTACTGCAAGAAAAGTGTAATTTTTGAAACTAAGGTGTTGCTGTAGTTTATAGGACAAAAACAATGACTGGAAGATAGCAAAAACACCACTACCAAACATTTAACTTCTTACCTCTTGATCTCTGCACCCTATCATTAGTCTTTTATTTTCCAGTATTTTACACTCTAAAGAAGGTCACATCTGTGATTTCTATATAGAAATAAGTAGGAACACATAACTGACAGTAACCTGCAATTTATTTTACATAAAGTTTCTTTATATATAAGTAAGAATTTTATATGATAAACAAGATCCACTGAATACCTATAATGTCTCTAGTAAGGTGCTGAACACTTTACGGGAGATATAAAATATATAAAGGCCTTATTCCTCTCATCAGGTAGTTTACTATTGGTTTACATAGATAAGTGAGAATTGTTAAAAATTATTAAAAAGCAAAATTAGGTGGTAAAGACTCTCAGTACAATGGTAGCTCAATAAAGGAAGACGACGACTTGGACCTGAACCCAGGAATCTTTATAAAAGAGAAGTTCTTTGAGGCATGGTAAAGTTTAGAATATTGTAAAGAGGTATAGAGAACACTTCCTTTGATAGGAACAGTGGTGGAGGTGGGTGGGAATTGTGTGAAGCATGAAGGAAATGCCTAACTGGAAAAGAGAGTAATGCTGAAATACATTGTAAATAATGCTGGATGGCTACATTTATTGTGAGTCTTTGTTTTTTTTTTACAGTTAGGGCATTCTGGGGGAGATGGGAGTCTTAAAAACCTGTTAAAGGAATCTGGAGAACCAGAAAGTGATGTGATAAATCAATAAATTCAATCTATTAATAGATTACTTTTAGGAGATACACACACACACATACCCACACCCCGCCACCGCCCCCCCACCACCCAATTCAGGGATTGTGGAGTTGGAATCATTAGAATGGAGAAAGACTTAGAGCAGTGCGGTTTCAGGACCGGGAGCAAAAGCGTTGCCTTGGAACCTGTTACAAGTGCAAATTCTTGGGCTCATTTCCGCTTGCTCATTGTCTACCCAATGATGCCTCATTATGAATTTGAGTATTATACTCTTTGTAAAACATAAAAGAAATATAATGGGCTTTTCTTCAGAGTAATATTGGGAAATGATTTTCCCTAGTTTGGTTAACTTGGATTGAAGAACGTAAAATAATGTTATAGGTTTCTATTAAGTAGAAATTTTATATCTATACAATTTGTTTAATTTTCATATCCAGACTAAAGTCAGAATTGGAATTGCTTCTTACCTTAGTTCTATGCTTTATCTTCTGATACTGATATTGATATCTCCTGATACGAAACTACTGATATCTTCTTTGATATTGATCAAAATAATGATGATTGACTTTATATATTATCATTATAACAATTCCCTTTATGTGCCCACATTGCTTTGTTATTACAGATATCAGGCCTATAAGATTCCTAAAATATCTTGTCCAGAAAAATGTTATTCCATTTAAATTGTAAACTAAATACACATTAGCTTCTAGCAAAATAGTAAATGTGAACATTCAGTGAACAATTGCCAAATATGGGGGAGACAGAAAATGGGAATTAAATTCTTGGGTTTATTTTTGCCAAATAAAATTAAGATTTGTCCCTGGTTGACTGAGGGGAATGACAACAAAATAATAAAGGGTTTTTGTATTTTGGGAGGCTTAGTTTTAAATAGCCCAATATTAACAACAGAAAAATTCCTATGGATTTTTCTCTTCCTCATTTTTCAAAAAACTGAGCTACCAGAAAAATAATCTGTTTTTGGCCCAACTCATCATGGGATTCTTCCAGGTTCTCCAGCTTCTCAGTCACATAATTTACTATCTCCAAGGAGCATGGCTTTGTGTTTGTATAATACTGGGCCTCCAGAGAATTCCCAATAAATTATCTTTAGAGGAAAGATAAATTAGAAATTTTGCCCAGAGTGCTCTAGATACCAAGTCTGATATATCATAGGACCAAAACTATATAAAAAAATACCAGTACGTTTCCTTTTTCCTCCCAGCTAAAGAAATAAGTCAAGAGAACAGCTTCTGTTAGCCAAATAGGGATACACTGATAGGACGGAAAGCAGAAAGTCTCTCTGTACAAAGAAGTTGCGTTTACTGACTGTATTTCTCCTTCTTGATTACATTTTCTGAACAAAGTTACACACCTTTGAAAAAGATGGAAACTCTCAGAAAAAGTTTGCATTCCGCATGTCATTATTATCTTTTCATAATATTGTTTCACCAAAACCGTATTAGGTGAAATTCCTTTAGGGTTTGTGAAAGGGCTTGGCAAGGCTTCTAACGAAGTCCATTTTAATGCTAGTGGGCAAAGGATAAAATTGCACAAAGCAAGTGATCACATACCAACTGCTGTCATGTAATCCCAGCGCTCAACGAGGCACATATTGAAGATGAGGTGATCTGATGTTTGCCCTTGGCCAATGAGTGAAATCTGCCTTTCCAAATTCTGGCAAACAGATGAAGTCCAGCCAATGAGAAACCAAAACACTACCAGGAGTATTACTGCCAGCATCCTCATGACCCGTCCACCGGTCATGTATGGAATCCGTTGGGCTGTTCGTGAAAGAAACACCTTCAAAACCCTGGAAAAGCAAGACATCAAAATTTGAAGGTGAACCTAACAACCAGAAAGTAAAATTCTAAAATATCTCATTTTTCTAGGTGAAATTTAAACCCACCCAAACCTACTTAGGCAGAGTTTTAACATAAAAAACAAACAACAGTGTTGCCTATACTTTGACTGAATTTCATTCCAGCTTACCTTCCAATAGCAGAACAAATATCCTGCCTTAGGGGTCAGTGAGTCAACAGATTTGTGTAGGATGGAATTCTTTTGAGTATGTTTTAATATTTCAAGAAAAATTCTCAGGACCTTAGAAAGATCCACAGGCAAACATTGCTCAAACAGGGTTTCTGAGGGATCAAAAAATAGTCCTAAAAGTGAGAAGTTGGGTTTTACAATATTATACTAAGTCAAAGACTTCCTTAAACCAGTTATTTTTTTTTTACAGTAGAATGTTATAAAAGGTATTTTCTGAAAAATCATTTTATATAGCCTCCTTTTATAGTCATTTTGTCACATTACCAAAAATAAGTACGAAAACAATAAGAAGGGTATTTAAATAACCCTGAATAAGATTATTGCATTAAGGAAGAGGATATGACCTATAAGAAATGCAGCAATTTTAAAAAAAATTTTTTTTTTTCTGTATATATGACTCAAATGCACAACCAGAGTTGAGACCTACTGGATGACATGATATCTAAGAACTGCTCCATCTCTAAAAATGGTGTGAAGACAAAATCCAACCTTACTATAGGGATCTTTCCAGCCATCCTTTGTTTAATTTCATCTCCAAAATATTCTTAGCTGATTTTAACTCCGCATTCTCATTCTGATATTTTAGGTCACAATATTGTGGTTTGACATAAACTACCATGAGTAGTTTATGATGCTATAAGGGTATCCATAATCAATTCCCCAAAGGCAAAAATGAATTCATCTTCCCAACTTTTCTATTTCCTGCTCTGATTCTTTCAACATTTTAAATGAAATATTCATATGCACTCTTCATAAAAGTCATTATAAATATGGAAATGAAACATACACACCTGAAATAACCTAGACGTATTTTACTATTTTTTCTCTCAATGCTGGGCTTTGATAGCTCTTTCAAATTAACATAACACATCCAGTAAAGAAAGTTATTTTCTAGCAGATTCTTATTTATCCTTCCCCCCTGCATATCTTTAACCCCACTGTCCTTCACCTAACACACAGCATGGTTATTTAATTCTGAATAAAATACTTATCCTCAATTTTTATGTGGAACAATGTCAGAAAGGTATTAGTATAAAGTAAGAGTACAAAAGAAGATCACTTTACTCACCATTTAACTACAGATAGTCCCCAACTTAAGATGGTTCGACTTACGATTTTATGATGGCATAAAGTGATAAGCATTCAGTAGAAACTGTACTTCGAGTTTGAATTTTGATCTTTTATGGGGCTAGTGATATGTGGTACGATATTCTCTCCTGATGCTGCAGCTCCCAGGCAGCCACACGGTCACAAGGGTAAACAACTGACCCACTTATGACCATGCTGTACTCATTCGACCATTCTGTTTTTCACTTTCAGTACAGTATTCAATAAATTACATGAGATATTCAACACTTTATTATAAAATAGACTTTGTGTTAGATGATTTTGCCCAAGTGGAGGCCAATGTAAGTGTTCTGAGCACGGATAAGGTAGGCTGGCCTAAGCTATGATGTTAGAGGTACTGAATGCATTCTCGACTTTAAGATATTCTCAATCTACAATGGGTTTACCTGGACATAACTCCACTGAAAGTCAAGGAAGATCTGTAGTTCACCAGATTAGCAGTTACTTTCCATTCCCCGGGTGAAACATACTGAGTATGGCCCGTGTCATGCTGAATGCTAGTACTGGCAGCGAACACAATGCCTCTCTCCAGTATGCCTCACTTTTGCTCCAACTAGTTGAATCGCTACTTGTTAAGAATCAGTTGTACTTGTCCCCAGATTATGCCCACTGTTATCATCTTTTTTTCTTGATAGTTGATTTGTAATATTATATTAGTTTCAGGCATACAACATAGTGATTCAATATTTTATAGATCATACTCCATTTAAAGTTATTATAAAATAATGGTTATATTTCCCTGTGCTGCACAATACATCCTTGTTGCTTATCTATTTTATACATAGTAGTCTGTATCACTTATCCCATGCCCCTAACTTACCCCTCCCCCCTTCCTGTTCCCCACTGGTAACCACTAGTTTGTTCTCTGTATCTGTGAGTCTGTTTCTGTTTTGTTATATACATTCGTTTGTTTTATTTTTTAGATTCCACATATAAGTGATAAAAGAGTATTTGTTATCATTTTATATAAGTTAACTAAATTGACTGTGTAAGCAAAGGAGACATTTGTACAAAGTTCTATTTTGAATGCTTTGGAAGGACTCCATAAAGGTGAGTCACTAAAAGAACTGTTAACTTAGGGGAAAGTAAGGAAAATTTTAATATATTGCGGTGGTCAACAAACCAAAATCCAGAAGGAGTCTACACTCAGATTACCTCAAAATAACAAACAAAAACTCTTTAGATTCTCACTCCTACTTAAAGAACCAAAACTATGAATAATAGGTAATACATTGCAGTGATTTATGCTACAAAGAGAACGATTAGAGCCACAGTCAAGGAAGAGGACTTACTTCAAAAATATTGGTGAGTGATTATTTGTATCTTAAATTACAGTATCTATACACTTCTTTAACCCCTTTCTACTTTAAAAAACTTTATTCATTAATTGACCAATCACTAATCCATTAAGAAGGCTTCTACTAAAATCAGCAGATCAAGATTCAAAAACTCTATCCTAGGAATGAGAGAAATTTCTTGGAAAACTAGTGTTTTTGCCAGTGCCAATCTTATTTTTTGTAGGAGAAACCTGTAGCCACTATGTGCACGTAATTGTTTCTGGTTGTACCTGGATGAATTCTAAATTTTGAATGATTAGGATCTCAAAAGAGGGAATCTGAACCATTTTTCTGGTCTTCTATATTTTGGCTAGGGCCAAAAGAAAAAGAGAGAATTGTTCCAAATTCTAGCTTGACTATATTTGAATATCTGAAATGTAATTATAATGAACAAAGGTTTATGTAGTGACAACCATATGCGAGGTATCATACTAGACAACATGGAAGGCATAAGATATGATTCCTGTCTTCCAGAAGCTTACAATGTAAGCTTACAATGTAAGCTATGTAAATAGCTACCATATAAAACAGCATATATTATATGTTGTTGTGTGTAGTTAGTAAGTCCAGGAACCTAATAGAATAGGTGCTATTTGGTCTGGGTCTTGATGGATATCAGTAGGTAGAAATAGAGGAAAGTGGAGAAGATATAAGGAGACATTCTAGCTGAAGGGAATCACATAACAAAGTACAAAGCAGGGAAATGTACGTTGTCTTTGAGAGACAGTGGGTGGAAACGTTTGGCAAGAAGGGAAGTTTTTTTTCAACCCACAGGGACGCCTAGGGATTTTTCAAGTTACTGCGAAGGGTTTCACTGGGTTGAGAACCATTGCTTCAGAGAAAAATAGTAATGATTTATATTTTCTTTCCATGGCCAATATGTGGGAAATCATTTATTTTTCTGATACTTGAAGATTTTCACATAGAAACTCTAAACCTCAATGAGAGGAAATATTGAATTTTTAAAATAACTATCTTTAAAATACTTCTTAACCAGGTGAGTTTGTCATTTGCAGAGGAAATCTATATGATCCCAGTATGGTAGTCTTTTAATCAAGAAATCCAACTTCTAAATTATCAGAAATTTTCATGCTTTCCAGATGACCCCATGGGTATTTACTGTAAAATCTGAGAACTCAAGATTGTCATAGATCCCCAAATCTCATTTCCAGAGAGGAAAAGCCAAAGCAGAGCCCTCATGAGTCTCTTGTTACTGCTTTTACGGGCTTTCAAACACTAGAAAATACAATAACACAACTCTGCATGGCAATCTAAGCATTTCAGGATATTGGTTTTTGTAAAATGGAATAAGATGCATTTTTCTAGGATTGCCTTAAAATAAAATGAGAAAATTCTGCTATATCTTTAAAAAATGAGCTGTTAGTCTAGGGTTCACTGCCTAGAAACCAAGTTCTAAAAATGAAATCCTTAGACACGCTTTTATATGAAATACAGCTGTAGAAAAAATGCAATCTTATATCGATTACTTTTCCTACTACTTTTTTCACAGATAAAATTTTAAGCTACCATCTGTTCAGAAGGTTTCACTATTCTAAAGGAAAGCAGTAATGTATACAAGAGGACTGCAAAAAATTTCCAGAATTTAATATAAAAAGGTATATTTAAAGTATATATTCAGTTCTCATTATTAATAGTAGAGAAATTCATAGAAATCATGTTGAAATGATAAAAAAAAAAAGGAATTGGCTGTCACTATATGTCTGCCTCTACTTTTCCACATTCCACATTTCTAGTTTGAGCTCATAAAACTCCACTGTAAGGACTTGTACTTAGGTTATCGATTATCTGCTTCAAATATCTAATTGATGTTGTTACTCCTTATTTAACTTGATCTCTCTCCAGCTTTTGGCGTGGCGGAGGCACTTGGCTTCCATTATGTCACATTCTCTTGACTCTCTGCCTACTCCTCTGTCAGCAGCTTTTTAGTCTCTGTCAGAGTCCTCTGCCTCAGTCTTCCCCTTAAATAATAGTGTTCCTCAAGGATCTCCTAAACTTAGTCACCTTCTATTCTTGCTCTACAGATTATACCTGGGAAATTCCATCCACAATTCTGCTTCAATTATGTACATGCTGGTGAGTTGCAGATCCGTAACTTCGGTTTAGATCACTGTCCTGAGCTCAAGATCTGTATACTCAGTGACCTACGGGACATCAACAGGTTCCCCAAATAAAATCGTCACTCTCTCCACTCCTCTCTCCTCTAACCCACTGTGTTACCTGTCTCAATGACCAGTACCAGTTAATTGCTCAAAGCAGAAACCTAGGAATGAACTTT